TCAAGGGACCTTTAAAGCTTTGCTCCTGACAAGTGGGGAGTTTGGAAACTGAAGAGGCTCACAGGGCTCCCCAAGGATCAAAGGATCTGGGAGAGACGATCCCAGCTCCTGGGTTTCTCAGAAGGTCTCATGGGCCTGCAAGCCTCTCAGGCGTCCCTGAAGGAGCCACACAAGTGCTCAGTGGGGAGCAGTGAAAGAGAGGTGCCATAGCTCTAGAGGAGGAGCACCTCTTGGCTGTTCCTGCTCCACAGGGCTGGGGGCCCAGCCATGAGGTCAAGGACTCCGGGAATCACACAGTGGAGCTTCTACATATAGGAGAGCTGGAGGGGAGGCCACAGTTGTTCTAAGTCACCCATGACCCTTATAGTGCCCAGTTTGTGTCACTGCAGATGGACACTGGGATCCAAACAACTAGGTGATACGGCCCAGGCTTCTTTCTCCGCTCTCATCACTTTGCAGAGACCCTACTGCATGTCTGTCCCATGGTCCCAGCTCTCCCAGGCTACCTCCAAAGGACAAGGATCTCACTACCTTCAGCAAGTGTCTGTCCCCAAGTCCTTTCTTATTATTGAGCTCACAAAACTCATATATCACCAACCACATGGGGTTAGCATATGCTGGGCTGCTGCATCCTGGGTGTGATGACATCCTGGTGGCCTTGGGCTGCTGGGCAGGAAGGCAGGACTATATGAGCAGATGGATAAGGCTCAGCTTGTCAGTCAGAGATGCTGGGCCTGCCCTTGCACTGGCTCCCAGAAAGTACAACTATTTATAAAAGATGAAGTGTGCCAGCCTGGGACATCTGCTCCTTCTGCTGGAGTGGTCTGTGTTCACCATAGGGCCCCAGCTTGAACTCCCATCAGCCCCCATCTCTGCCCCACCCTAATCTCCCAATGGGCCATCTTTGGGGATGGTGGAGAATGTTCTGTTTTCTCTATCTTTGTCTTTCAGATGCAGCTTCTAGGGAAGGAGGATGTTTCCTTGGGGAAGGCGACATGAAGCCTTGCTGCCCCTTCGGAACTGTACTGGCTTCATCTTCTCTCTCCGAGCTGCTCTCTGGCCACGGACATCTACATCCCCTCTGACTGGCACTGTCCTGGTGGCAGTGATTAGGATCCATCAGCACAGGGCCATGCAGTCTAGGTATAGCACACAGGCCTGGAGCTGGCTGTGGAACATTCTGGAACAGATGCAGAGAGAGGGCTTAGCATCCTGTCCCAGGGGTTTTTCTGAACTAGTCTGTTCTCACTCTGCAAATGGGTGGGGAGGAAATTTGTTCTTCAAGGTGGTGAAACATTCCATGTCATCCAGGGTGATGTGAGTCACTGTGATGTGAGTGATGGAGCTCTGAGCCTATGAGGAAACGGGTAAAACAGAACCGTGTGTCTGAAGACCTGGGCTCTCCCATTGCGTGGCCAAGTGGCAGGAGCTTGGAGTGGCACTGGAGTCCTCTGTAAGGTCCACTTTGTCACGTGTGCCCCTCTTCGTTGTGACAGTGCTATCTGTTGGCCTCCTTCGGGGCTGCTGAGGGGTCTGGGTGGATTGGTGAAGAGGGAACTGTCCTGTTCCTTTGAATTTTATGCAAGTACAGCCATGCCTGGACCAGGTAAGTGACACTCCTGTGTAAAAGGAACAAGGACAGAGAGGACCAAGTGAACAGATGTCAAAATATGAGCTAGAGGCCGGTGGGTGACTCAGTGGGCAGAGGCACCTGCCTCCAAGCCCAACAACCGACGTCAGATCCCTAGGACCCACATGGTGGATGGAGAGAACTGACTCCCGGAGGTTGACCGCTCACCTCCCTCTGTGGGCCATGGCATTCACACCTCCCCCAACATCAATAAATGCAATAAGGGATTTTTAAGCTGAAACGGCTTTGTGCCTAGGAGCTTAATTCTGCTCCCTGCTTTCAGGGGGCTCCCCACCATGGAGCGTACTGCTCTCCAATGTGCGTGTTTCCTTCTCTGTAAAATGGGAACAACAGCATTGCATTTAGGAGGTGTGATGAGGAAGCCAGGTTTTCTAGGGATGCCTTGTGAGGTCACCGAGGTCATAAGGTACACTCACAGCCACGTGTTTGGGAGGACCTAGGACAGCCCTGCCAAGCACTTGTGCTTTCCATCTCCTGTGTGTGCTGACCAGAGGTCAACATCTGGCGTCTTCCTTGATCACTTTCTACCTTACTGTTTTTGAAGCTGAGTCTCCCGGTGACCCTGGAGTTCATCAACTGGCTCTACAACCTGTAAATGTGGCCTTATTTGAAAAAGGAGTCTTGACATAATGTCCAGGGTGTCACAATGTGTGTAGGCTGGGCCTCAGATCCAACCACTGGCGCCTCTATAAGAGAAAAGAAATGGAAGTCTGAAAAACACAGTCTCTTAGGAAAACATTCCTCAAAGGCAGTGTGATGCCTCGGTAGCCACAAGTCAAGGATGCCTGGAGTCACCGGCAGTTGAACTGGCAAGGGAGATCTTCCCCTACAGCCCTCAGGGACAGTGTAGCCTGTTTGCACTTCTGGCCTCTAGAATAGGGAGAGAATGTTGTTCTGACCCCCCCTTGCCCCCCAGACTTATAGAGCATTGGAAACTGCCAGAACAAGGTGGGGCTGGTGCCAACCTACCAGATCTCCACAGGGCCCTGAGGACAAATGAGGAGGCCTAGGAGAGGTAGAGCCAGAGACAACCTCTGGGAGACGAAGGGGTTGTGGGGCTAGTGTAGCTATAGTTGGGAAGAAGGGAGGCAGACACCTGACCGTACCCCTAAATGCCATCGCAGGTTCTTACTTATTTCCTTCAGAAACACATCTGTGTCTCGGGTCCCCTGAGGAGGTGAATTACCTGTGTCTGCTTCCAGGGCCACCAGCTCACCTGTGACCTCAGATGGATCTTGGGCAGGCAGGTTTCTCCCTCTGGGACCCACATTCACTGCTGAGCACAAGTCTGGAAGCAGGAGCTGAGCCCGAGGAGGCTTCCCTCCTGAGTGTCTCCTCTCAGCCTGCTGTGGTTCTGGATTAGATGGAGCAGAATGTTCTTGGCAAGAAAAACGGGTTTCTGGGCTCTCAGAAGAACTGTGCCTGTAGACACACAGGGGAAGGCTCTGCTGAAGACAGACTCGGTCTCACAGGGAGGGTGGAAAGGACAGAGGCTTCCCCAATGTGGTGGGTAGTGGCATTGGCAGGGGCCACCGAAGGTCGGCTGCTGGAGCTGTGACCTGGTCACCCTGTTTTCTTCCTTATCATTAGGCAAGAAAAGTGGCTCTACCTCTTAGGGCAGGATTATTCCAGAACAGGAGATTCTGTGTTGTTATCGCAAATGGACGCAAGCCCGGGAGGGAACAGTTGGAGATGGTCCTGGAAGGGGACAGGGTGACAAGGTGCTAGGCAGGACACAGTGTAACACATGTTTCTAGAGAAGGAAGACTCCTAGCTGGAGGACAGTGGAGCAAAGTTCCAATCCTGCAAGACATCCGGCTAAGTGGGGAGGGGGTGGGGAGCCACAGTGCGGGTGGGACCAGACACTGGCACCTCCTAAGTCCTTGGCAGAGTCTTGAGAAGATGGGATTGCTGTGTCCACTTTAAAACTGAGTCCATGTGCCAAGGGCAGTGTGTGGGTTGGACAAGATGCCTGACCCCCAGGGGTCAAGTTGGGAAGATCTTGGGAATTAGAAAGTGGAGTCTGGACTTGAGACTCCAGGTAATAGAGAGCCATGGTGGGTGCCTGAACATAGCACAGCACAATGAAGGAGGTGCCCACACTGGGTGGTGGGAGAAAGACCAGCAATAATGCAGTAAGGACAACCTGCTTCCCGCTTGCCTTGTATGAGGTGTGCGTATGGGTGTGTGTGGTGTGGTCTGGTCAGGCTGGCTTGGAATTCACAAAGCTCTGCTTGCTGAAATCAAAGATGAGCCATTATGCCTGACCCCTGCCTTTATTTTTATTATTATTTTAAGATTTAGTGTGTGTGTGTGTGTGTGTGTGTGTGTGTGTGTGTGTGTGTGTGTGTGAATGAGTACAGGTGCTTGCAGAATCCAGAAGAGGGCATTGAGGGCATTCAATCTTCCTGGTTTTGGAATTATAGGTGGCTGTGAGCTGCCCCACATGGGTACTGGGAACCAAACTCTGGTCCTCTGTGAGAGCAATACAGGGAAGTACATTCTCTTAGCCACAGGGCCATCTCTCCAGGCCAGAGCAGCGATTCGACAGTAACACAAAGTAACATCACGTTAGAGGTACGGGCAGCAGGGTATCTTTCCTACCTTAGCATCCCGCTTTTTTTTGTTTTTTTTTTTTGTTTTTCGAGACAGAGTTTCTCTGTGTAGCTTTGCGCCTTTCCTGGAACTCGCTTTGGAGACCAGGCTGGCCTCGAACTCACAGAGATCCGCCTGGCTCTGCCTCCCGAGTGCTGGGATTAAAGGCGTGCGCCACCACCGCCCGGCAGCATCCCGCTTTTTAAAGATGATATGAATCTGAAGATCAGGCTGGAGCAGGGGCATGCCCAGGATGGAGAGAAGTGAGGAGTCCAGGGTGAGGTCAAATGAAGGAGAGTGTGTGAACTAAGCAGGCTGGAGGGTAACCCCTAGGACTGCTTGACTGGGACAGTGAGGAAGCTGGAGGCGGGGCCTTACTTGGGTTGTGGGGCATCATGTTATTTCCTTGCTATGATGGAACACCCAACAAAAGCAACTTCAGGGTTTATTTGAGCTCCTAGACTGGAGGTGCAGTCCATCACGGTTGTGAAGTCATGGCAACAGGAGCTGGAGATGGCTAATCACATGGTTTCCATAGTCAGGAGTAATACGAGGTGCATGTCTGTGCTCAGTTCACTTTCTCATTTCTTTGGGACATTGTCTCACATAGCCCAGGCTAGCCTTGATTGTTGAGGATGACCTTCATTTCTGAACCTCCAGTCTCAACCTCTCTACATGTTGGAATTGCAGGTAAGTGCCACCATACCTGGCTTGTTGGCAGTGTTGGGAATCGAACCCAGGGCCTGTGAATGTTAAGCAAGTACTCTACCAGCTGAGCTGCATCCCCAGCCCCAACTTTCTCCTTTTTATTCAGTTTAAGGCCCCAGACTGTGGGCTACTGCTGCCTACAGTCAGGGTGGTTTTTCCCTCTTTAGTTAAGCCTTTCTGGGAAGGCCCTTGTAGACATGCTCAGAGGCGTGTTTCCATGGTGATTCTAAATCTGTCATGTTGATAATGAAGATTAACCACTATGAGCACCAGCACCCAGCTAAGGACAGGAAGGCACCGGTGCACAGCTTGACTGCTACCCAGCTGTGCTGTCTTGGGCAAAGCGCTGCACCTCTCTGGTCTCTGTTTCCTTTTCTTTAATTATACATAACACACATCTCAAAAAGCCCAGTTGGTTACAATACAGTCCTCACCTCTGGCTTAGGGTGATGACATCCATGGACAGTATCTCGGTTCCTTCAGGCCTCTTCTAGAGACGGGCACGGCTCCCTGCCAAAAGCCTAGCAGCCAGCTGCACATGGAACCTCTCCTGGGCCTGATGCTGGTCTTTCTGCAAATGCCAGGTGTGCTTCGGGGACTAAGGGACACTTGCTGGTGGTGCCATGCGGAGGCAGAGACCACGTCACGGGTGGGAGGGTGGGGCTTCAAGGCCCTGGCGGTGGTGGTGGTGGTGGTGGTGGTGGCGGCGGTGGTGGTGGTGGGCAGCCACTGGGAACAGGCTGTGAGGAGCAGCTGGCTTTTCTATTCTCATGCTGAAGGGGAAGGCCATTTCTGCTCCAGATGCAGGAGACGCCAGGCTTCATTACTTCCAGGGATTCTGTCCATGTTCTTGCTCTCGATTCAATTAAAGCAATCTGAGGTAATTAATTGAATTTGTTATTTGATTAATAAAGATAGAAATTTGGCTAAGTTGCCGTGAAGAAAAGAGCCATGTTGAGATCTGAGGACAGAGGATCCTGGAAGCCTCATTCTGTTCGCACCTCCCTTTTGGCCTGATCCCCCTCATTCCTCTTGTATACCCACTGTGTCATCTCTGAATCCCCCATCATTCCAGCTGGGACCAGGAGACAGGACCTCAAAGTCAGGGATATGGACTAGAAGGAGTGAGGAGGTGGCTAGGGAGCAATGTGATCTGTGGGGGTGGGGGAGTGGAAGCTGGGGAGGAGCCTTCATGCATCTACAAGGGCTTCATGCTGAGAGGACAGAGGCTGAGGCAGGCCAGAAGAGTCTGACTGTGTGCAGGAAGACTTAGGCCAAATGCAGAGCATTGAGGAGTAGGAGGGGTAAGCCCAGGGTGGGTGCCACTGTCTGTCCAGAGAAGGCTGTGCACAGTGGGAGCTGCCAGCATCGGCTATGGGTCAAACCAGAGAGGAAGGGCCAGGCCAGACCCCAGTGTGGGGAGTCACTGGGGATCAAGGGTTAAGACTGAGGGTTTCCTAATATGGCCCAAACCTAGCAACTCCACAAAATTCAGATCTGCAAATTTGATGAAAGTGCATAGATTCAAATGGCAAATGAAAAGCTAGGGGAGATATTTGAAGCTCACATCACATATGAAGGTTGAATTCCTTCAATATGTAAAGAGCCCTTCTGAGTCAATGAAAGAAAAATTCCCACTTATAAAAGGTAGAGAAAGGTTGGAAGGGACAACTTGTAGGAATGGAACCACAAATGATATTTGCTTATTTATTCATTTATTTGTTTGGTTGGTATTATGGGAGAGAGGATCTCATGTAGCCCAGGATGACCCTGAATACTTGGTTTGACTGCCTCTACCTCTGAGTTCTGGGATTATAGACATGTACCATCTCACCCAGGCTACAAACGGCTTTTAAACATATGCAAAGTTGCTCATTCTCTTTCTGTAATGAGGGAAATGCAAATTAAAAGTGGGCAGAGATTCCATTTTTATACTTAAGATTGAGCTTGGCGTTGTGTGACACTATTCCTGGGGAGATGTGAACAAACGTCTACTCACCCCAGATAGAGAACCAGGGACAGACAGGTACAGATAACACCAAAGTCCGCTGTGGTGAACCAGTGAGTCTGCTGGGGTTACTTCAACTCCAGGAGTATAGATTATGGGTTACTTGCAGAGTGAGCTGCATCACAGAATGTCCGTCCCAAAACAGACAAGGACTTAGAAAAGCTGGAACCCTGGATCTTTCTGCACACCTTGCAGGCAGCTCCACAGGTCAGAGAGTTTCCTCTCCTCAACGGTCTTTACAGCTCATAGAACCCAGGGAGAAGGAGGGGCCTGTGAGTCCAGTAAGCTTCAGAGACATGCTGGGACTTGAGGTATTTGCTTCCTGGGTTTTAATGAACTTTGCTTTAGAACTTCCTGAGTCTTAAGGAGCCTTCCTTAGGGATACAATGTTTCAGTTCAGAAGAAATTGCTACACAGCACTCCACCCCTTCCTCCAGCCATTCCATTCTTTTCGCCTCCTGTCTGTGGTGTTCTCCAAGCCTTGGAGGAGGTGATGTAGACGTCTAAGCCTTGGGCTACTTGCCACAGCAACAGCTGCTTATTCTCAGGAGTGTCTCTGTAGGCCGCCATTGTCTGTAAAGGAAACATCATGACCAATTGCTGTTGACAGTGGAGCTCTAGGACTGATCTTCCGCACAGATGTAGTTTGACAGACACACCACATCCATTTAACAAAGCAATGGCTGTTGCTTCCCTTCCACCAATTTTTTGTCCTGGTTCACAGAATCTGGAGTGATTTCCCTACTGTGGAATAGGCTTTAAATCCAAACGGAAAGTTGTTGGTTGTACCCTAAACAGTCTGTGCCACTAGTGGACCTGTAGATACATCTTTCTTGACATTAGATGGTGTTGCACGCAGCATCTTCAACCAAGTAGGACTATTGGTGAAACCCTCCCCCAGCAACCTTCGATACATCTTTCAACATTATGAAAGCCAGCCAGCAGGGAGAGAGCTTCCAGTTTAGTCCCAGCCTAACTTCTCTATGTCGTGTGACCAGCTCATGTATTGTCTTCAGCCACAGACTCTTACCTAGATCTGGTATGCAGCCAACAGCAGTGGCAGTTATCATCTGGGGAGCTTTGGGGACCTTCCATCCAACAGCTCATGGGGAGGTTACCCACTCCTGGCACTGCAACTTTTGCTTAACCACTTTATGGTTTGGGACACTTGTCTTTCTCCAGACATGTAGGATGTCCTCTGAAAAATTTTTACTGTTATTTTTACCCTTTTTCCCCCTAGATGTTTGTGTAAATCTGTAAGACACTCTGGGGCTGAAGTGCTGGCTCAGTGGTTAAGAGCACTTGTTCTTGCAAAGGACCTGGGTTTGATTCTCAGCACCCATATGGGGCTCACCACCTCCTTGGACACTAGGCATACATGTGATGCATAGACATACGTGAAGGCAAAACACACACACATGAAACAAAAGAAATCTAAAAACTCTGTAAGACACTCAAGCATTAGCATTACGTGACAAGACCTTTTTTGCAGAGAGTGTGCAGGATCTGTGAAGCCCTGTCATTGTCTATTTCAAATACGTGTAGTCAACTTTGAGGGTTAAGTGGATACTAAAAAAGACATGTTATCAAGGCCCAGTGTGGTGTGAAAGGGTCTCTTCACTTTTATCAATTCTTGAGTCAGAAGAGCAGTGTTGGGTATAGTCACAGACAGGAGACACCCCCCATTTAGCCTTCCATGATCCATACACATTGCCCCGCTGCTGATGGTCTCAGCAGGGCTGGCTTGTGTTGCTTCTGTCTTAGGTCTAAGAGCTTCACTATAACCTGCTGTGCCTGCTGCTGGAGCTGGCTCCCTCGTTCTGACAGGCTCCAGGCCAGCGCTGTGGCCCTTAACTTTCCACCAGCCACACCTGATTGCTGAAAGGGCCCCAATGTAGCTGGAGTTTTCTTGGTCCTACCTGGCCCACGGTCAGGACAAATCTCTCTCACCCACCAGTCCCGCAGCCGCTCAGACCCAACCAAGTGAACACACAGAGACATATTACTTATAAACTGTATGGCCGTGGCAGGCTTCTTGCTATCTGCTCTTATATCTTAAATTAACCCATTTCTATTAATCTACCCAGTTTCCACAATGAACTGCTAAAGGGAAATTTGGAACCTGTAAGGAGGAGCTCTGACTGGATGTCCTGAGGTTGTGGACAGTGAGAAAGCTGAAGGCCCGGAGCCATTCCTCCTGAGGAGTTGGCTCCCAGCAGAGCTCTGGGTACATGTGTACCTCCTTTGGGTGTCTAGTTTCCATCTCCAGGGTCGTAGGAGCATGATCACAGACATTTGGAATACCTGGGAGATGCTGCTGTATGAAACTTTTCCCATATTAGTCAGGCCCTTCTCACTGCCTAGGATCCCTGATCTTGGGCCTGAACCTGGGCCTTTCTTCTCCATGGCTACCTTTTCCCAGGAGCCTTTCCTGACTGTCCTAGGCTTGTTTCCAAACTCCTGGGGCACTATCTAAAAGAGACTGAAGGCAAGCAGAACCACTGGGCATGGTGGTGCGCATCTGTAACTCAACAGTTTCCAGGTGAAGACAGGAAAATCAGGAGTTCAAGGTCATCCTTGGCTACACAGCTGAGTTCAAGGTCAACCTGGGTAAACAAATAAGTATTTAATAACACCAGCCCTCAAGAGACTGCATTTCCAGTCAGCTTATACAAGTCTTTTCTTCATTTGTTTGTTATTGAGATGGAGTCTCACTATGTAGCCAGACTGACCTTGAACTCCTGATACTTCTGCCTCTGCCTCCCAAGTCCTGGGATCCCAGGGAAGCCCCTGCGAACCCTTTAGAGTTGCTGATGGAAATGAGTTCATTTACATTTAGGGACCCATGCCTGGCTCTTTGAAATGCTATCATCATTCTAGAAGCTCTATGTGCTTGGGCGATTGACTTACCTTCCCTGGAACCCAGTTCTCTTAGCTACAAAATACTAAACAAAAGATGGCAATGGATGCTATTTGATGTGTGTACCTCTTGGGATTGTGATAATTAGATGAGATAGTGTTGATAGAAGCATGGCGGTTTGTGAGCTTCGGATGTGACTACCACTATGTTACGAGGTGACTAGTCCGCACGTGAGGGGAAGAGAGCAAGCAGCCTTCCCTGGGCGGCGAGGGAAGTCTGAGGCCCACAGGGGTTAGCTGGCCATGGTTACTCCAGACAGAGCTCTCAATCTGAAGCACAGGAGACCAGACGTGTTTCCCATTTTAGATTTTGGAATGTTTGCATATACATAATAAATATCACAAGTGAGACTCAAGTCTAAACCTGAAATTCATGGTAGCTTCTTTCTATATGCCTCACACACAGTCTGCATATAATTATAGACAATTTTTAAATGACTTGGGCACAAAATGGAGTTTCGTGGTTCCTTTTTTGTCTCTGTGACGAAGTCCCTGACGAAAGCAGCTTAAGGAAGAGTTCACCGTGGCTCACAGCTGGAGGCTACTGTCCATCATTGTGGGGAAGACAGGGCGGCAGGGTGCCAGGAGGCAGCCGGTCATGTCTCCACAGGCGGGAAGCAGAGAGAGATGAGCTCAGCTTGCTCTCTCCTTCTTATTGAGTCCTGGACCACAGCCCACTAGACGGTGCTGCCCACATCCAGGGCGGGCTTCCCACCTTGACTAACCACTCTAGATAATCCCTCACAGACATGTCCAGGGGCTATCTCCTCGGGGATTCTTGATCCTGTCAAGTTGGCTATTGATAGTAAGCATCGCACGTGGTGTGGGATTTTCCATGTATGGTTTCATGTTAGTGCTCAGAATACTTTTGGATTTGAGGATGAGAGATGCTGAGCCTATGTTTACTGGGTACTTACCATGTGCTAAGTGCTTAGCCCAGGACATGATACGGCATTGTGCTTGAGATACCCTTCCCATCAGTCAGGCAGAGTGACTGTCATACCACCTCTGAATCAAATCCTTGGTACAGGTGACAGAACTGAGGCTCAGAGAGCCTGGATGGCATTCCAAGGTCACAAGGCTCCAATGGGACATTCTGGATGGCTCTTCTTTTCATTACCTCATCTTTGCCTCAGCTATAGGTCAGGACAGGACCCTCTGAACTGTCTGTGTTTCCTCCTCTTCCTCCCCACCACTACCCAATCCAATACTGCGGGGTTGGACCCAGAACGGAACCCTCTCTGCTTAGGCAGACATCACGTCCATGTTCCCCTCCCCTCCTGTGGCTGCAGCGTGTGGTGTTAACTGACAAGGAGAGATGGTTTGAGAAAGAAGCGAGCTCATTATCGGGCAGAAGACTTAGCACTTCCCGAGACTCCACAGCACCCTTGGATGTAGCTGGCTTGCCTCTAATTGCTGTCCCTGACACGTTTCTTCCAGAACTGGAAAACTGAGCCCGCACACAGGGCAGGAAAAATTGAAAGGTCCCAGGACCCGGTGGCCTGAGAGAGCCCTGCCTCCTCCATCTTGTGTCACCCTGCCACCCACCTGACATCATCCATCAGCCCTGCTTAACCAGGATGGTCCTAACCACGAAGGTCTCCTCATCCTTGCAACTCCAGGTAACAGGGGTACCTGGGGAGGGGGGAAGCCACCTTGATCCTGAGATGCCACCCTGGCCTCCATAGATGCCCAGAATCCAATTAAAGCCTCCATTAGAGCTGAGGAAAGAGATGTGACTGGAGGTGATGGAGAGGGACGCACTTCTAATTAGACACGCAGCCACACGCCCCTGTCCTTTCTAGATAAATGTGAAGGATCAAGAGGAGTAGTAATTAAAACTTACCAGTCCTACACAAGCTCTATCACCACGAGCTCTGCTTCCTCCCAGCTCCTGGGTCCTGACTGCTTCTCTCCACCAGCCAGTCTCTGGGCAGGAAGAATGCTGGAGGAAAGTCAGCAGAACTGGGTGCCCTGGTTCAAAGGCCTAGAGAGGGTGGACCCCAGCTGAGTTTGCCCAGGGAACACAGACTGGGGGAGGAGACAAGCTGGGGGCCCTGGATCTAGGTCAGATCCCCCTAGAAGTTTAAAAACACCTACATGAAGCCAGGGATCATGCCACAATCCAACAGTCTCAGCACTGGAGAGGCAGAGGCAAGATGAGAAGTTGAAAGTCATCCTTGGCTCCATAGCTAGTTTTGAGACCAATCTTGGCTACAAGAGACCTTAACTCAAAAAACTAACAAACAGCTGCAGTGTGTAGATAGTTCATTCAAACACCGGGACATTTGGTTTTCTTTAAAAACTCAAAGATCTGACAGCTCCTGGCTTGTTGTCTCACCCAGCAACAATCCTCACTGGTGGAAGTCAGGCAAGAGGCAGGTCCTCAGTGCACCGCCCTCCAACCGGGCTGTGTCATCTGTCAGTCACATGAGTTTCGGGAGTATCATCTGGGTCTTCAACCTGTAGGTGAAGGGCAGTGCCCAATGTTCATTCTGACCCCCTCCTTTCCTCCACACATGTGTTCCTTCTGGGCCCTCTGCCTGAGGAGACTTTCCTCATCTCCATTCAATGCCCTCTCTAACATGAAGCATCTCCATGGCAGGAACTGTCCTGTTCTCTGGCTGCTGGGATACTGACCATCACTCACAGTGCTTTTCCAATATGTGATGGTCAACCTACCCCCACCACAACCCCTGCTCCAAGGGGGTAGGGGGCTCCTTAGGAGCATGGCCCAGGTAGGTTGGCCTTGTCCTCCTCCTCGGGTGTTTAATAAAGGCAACTGGGAGCTTGTGGCCCCTTCTAGGCAGCCTGCTTGGGTCAACATAGAGCAAGTGGCTAGGGCCACATCAGCCGTTCTCTGGATCTGCCTTTGTAGCTTTATCTTTTTATCTGGGCCTTTCCCAGGCTTCAGGCTGGAAACCAGGTACGGAAGGGCATTTTGGGATTAATACATCACATTAAATAGACAGGAAGGGCCCCTGCAGTGGACAGAAACAGCCACAGGAGTAGAAAGATGTGTGGAGTTCAGGCACCTAACAGCAGGCAAAGTCTCCAGGAAGTTTTGGTTGTTGTTGTTTTATATTATTTTATTTATTTATTTATTTATTTATTTATTTATTTATTTATTTATTTATTTATTTTAGGCAGTCTCATGAAGTCTAGGCTGGCCTCAAACTCTATGTAATCAAGGATGACCAAAAAAAAAAGATATTTACTGATTTGTTTTACTTTATGTGTGCCTACATGAATTTTATGTACATCATATGGATGCAGAAAGCTACAGAGGCCAGAAGAAGGAACCAGAGCCCTTGCAACTGGAGTATAGGCAGCTATGAGCCACCATGTGGGAGCTTAGAATTGAACCTAGGTCCTCAGGAAGAGCAGTTGGTGCATTTAACCACTGAGCCGTCTCTCCAGCTCAGACATTGATCCCCTACTTCCACTTCTTGAGTGCTGGTTTTGCAAGCATGTACCACCACTCCTGGTTTGTACTGGGGATTGAACCCAGGGCTTGGTGCATGCTAAGCAAGCCCTCTAACAACTAAGCCACATCCCAGCCCTGAAAGTTTTTTTTTTTTCGAGACAGGGTTTCTCTGTGTAGCTTTGTGCCTTTTTCTGGAACTCACTTGGTAGCCCAGGCTGGCCTCGAACTCACAGAGATCCGCCTGGCTCTGCCTCCCGAGTGCTGGGATTAAAGGTGTGCGCCACCACCGCCCGGCTGTTTTTTTGAAAGATGTTTTAAAAGCAATGTCAGTGAAGGAATGGGTGGGCTCTGTGGTGACACGCACGGCTGAAATGATGTGTGTGACCATCAGTCAACTTCTCCGGCTTGGCTACATCTCAGCCTCATGGAGCCGCTCCCCAACCTGTATGCACACCAGTGTCCTCATATGACAAATGTGACAATAACATCTGCAATTTCTTTTCATTCCTTTCTTCTTCTTCTTCTTCTTCTTCTTCTTCTTCTTCTTCTTCTTCTTCTTCTTCTTCTTCTTCTTCTTCTTCTTCTTCTTCTTCTTCTTTTCTCTCTCTCTCTCTGTCTCTCTCTCTGTCTCTCTCTCTGTCTCTGTCTCTGTCTCTGTCTCTCTCTCTCTCTCTCTCTCTCTCTCTCTCTCTCTCTCTTCAGGTAGTCTCTGCACTGGTAGTCAACTCAGTCTCACTATGTAGATGAGGCTGGCCTGGAACTCACAGTGATTCACCTGCCTCTGTCTCCTGAGTGCTGGGATTAAAGATGTGCACCACTGTTTCTTAAATAGTTTGAGTGTGCTTCACATCATCCAGCAGCCTTGCCCCAGATACATACCTTCCAAGGGCAGAAAGCGCTCATGTTCACACTAAAACTCATTTCTGATTAGAGAAGCATTGATCACAATGGCCTCCAAGTTAAAAATCTGCAAAAACGTAAATTCCACTTTTGAGCATGTGAACAGACTTCCAATCAACTGCAAGACATGTATTCACGCATGCATGAATAAACAAGTGAGTAAATGAAGGAATGAATGTGGCAAATGTTTCTTTTCTAATGCTTGGTACCTAATTGGTAAAGAACCACCCCTTCATTTCTCCCTCCTGCTTTTTGCCTTCCTTTAGCTCACATTTCCTGGGGTCCTACTTTGTGTCACACAATGTCCCAGTGCTGGGGACACAAGAGAGTGCAGGACAAACTCTTCCTTCAGGCTGTTTTCTTTTGTGGGCAGAAAGATAAGCATCAGTCGTAACTAACTGGGGAAACAGCAAGCTGTGTGCACTGGTAGTCAACTCAAGAGGGAAGGAAGCTGGTGAGGGGTGGGCCTAACTGAGGAGGAAGAGGAGGGGCAGGTCTAGCTGCAGAAATGCCACTGGAGTGGGTGCCCAGAGGAGGACAGATGCTAACAGCTAAGGAAAGTGTCTTGGGTAGCAGAAGCCTAGCTGGGGTTTCTGAGTGGGAATGGCAGTGGTGGGGGGAGGCAGGGAGGTGACAGGGAATGTCAGAGGCCATAGTGAGGACTTGAGTGGGTGTTCTGTGTGATGAAGAGGCTTCGGGGTGGTGGTGGTATCTGAGCACCACCCCGAGCTCTCCCCACACTTAACTCATTACATCTTTAGCACAACAGTGCCAATCACCCTCTATTCTTGTTTCAGAGGGAGGATGAGCCGAGACTGAGTGGGGGGATTATCCACCCTCATAAAGAGAGATGGAGAAGCCAGACCAGGAGCTGACACAGGCCAGTCGTGGGTAGGGAAGAGGAGGCTGTGAACTCAGACAGACCTGGGTGCAAAGCTGTGTGACTTCCAGCAGGTTACTTAACCTGTAAACTGGGGATAATGGTGGCCTTGGAAGACATAAGGTCCTCTGGGCAAAGGCACTTTGGTGGCCGATGATTTTTCCTTTTGAACTGATGGCAGCTGTCCCGTCTGTCCTCTTCTCCTTGCAGGAATGGCCGTTGTGGCCTTAAAGAGAGAATCTTACTGCTGGTTCCTTTCTTCTTCTTGGGCCCAGTTAACCTTAGGAGAGCTGCAGGGGCCCACGTGGTGCAGGCCTGCTTCCCTCTAGCCCCACAGGTTCATGGCTGCCGTCAGTGGTGACTTCTCACTGCTCTGACCTACCTTCCCCTCCCATAGAGCTCCACTTCTTGGGGGGCCTTAGGCAGGCAGGGCCATGCTATGATGGTGGAGACCTGTGACACCAGCCTCATCCAGGGCCAACTGCAGAAGGCAGAGGAGATCTTGGCAGGTAGTCCGGTGCGGTGAGAGCTGCCAGCCAGGCTGAGGCTGGAGTCTTGCAGGAGACCCCAGGGGCTGCAGCAGATGGCTTCTTTCAGAGTCTAATTATCCACCCGCCTGGAACCGGCGGGGGCTAAGCACAACAGTGTCTGTGTCTCCTTTCCCCTGGAAAGGGAGGAGAGGGCTACAGGTATGCCAGCCTCACTTGTGTGCCCTGTTGTCTTCCTCCAGCCTGGGTGCTTGGGAGCCCTGCTTGTGTTTGGTTCGAGCTGAGTCTCGGGTGCCCTGCACATAATGTGGTACACAGTTGGTGCTCAATAGTTGGTTGCTAAAAAAAAAATGGATGAGGAATACGTTTGCCACTGTTTTGCTCTTCTGCCAGGCCTGCTTCTGGGCAAAATTGAGATGGCTAGTTAATCTCAGAGCCCTCCCCCTTGACTTCACACAGCCGTCTCTGTCCTTATTTGGCAGCCTATGACCTCTTTCATCATTGGCTAACTGAGAAAATGCCTAACGTATTCAATTTATACCAGACTGAAAATGACTGACCGCACTCATTCTTCACATATACATTGTGGATAAGGATGAGGCTTCACGGCCGAAGCCCGCCCCTTTACTGGGCCTCATCTCCTGGTGCTCCTGTTTTTGCTTACTGGTCCCGTGTGCCTTTCAGGTTTCACCACCACATAGATCCGTAGCTCATTGGAACTGCAGAGGTAATATCGGCACCCCACACAGCGAGGTCCTCCAGTCTCAACCTGAGGACCCAGGTGATGGGGGCTCCCTACCTCACATACAGACAGCCGTTGCTGGATTGAGACTTCCTGCCAAGTAGCCATCTTGCCCATGCCCGCCCTTTGGAGTCAGGTTCACAGGGTAGCATGCCCTCTAAATAAAGATGTCTGGACATGCATAT